TACATATGAGATGATTCATAAAAATCTTTGATAAAAATAAACAGTTTAAACATTCATCAAAATAATGAATTATTGATCAAAAAAATGAATAGAAATTGATTCAGGCTGGAGTATAAACTGTGACGTCTTTACCTGGCTGGGAAGGTCAGGAGATGGTTGTACGCCATGTGCAGAATCCGCAGATGTGAGTGGCCCGTCAGCATGGGCACACACTTGTCCGTCAGCCGGTTGTTGGTGAGGTAGAGTTCCTGCAGGATGCTGTGACTCTCCTCTGAAAGGCTGGAAGGCGGCAGGTGCTCCAGCTTGTTGGCTGATGCATTCACGCATCGTAAGCTTAGGAAAGAAAATTGAAGAAAAATAATGAGATGAAGAGTCTTCAATTACAAACATTTGTATGACTTCCTACTTTTATGATTCTCTTTAAAACACACCCCTCTCCCCTCCCTGTAGTGGTTGGTTGTTTTTTATTTCCCTGCTATCTTTGCCCTTGAGTATCTTGCCTGCCCTCGAGTAAAAATCCAATTCATGTCCTTCATTTTCATTTTCCCTCTGTTAAATCGAATTTTCAGATGTCATGTGCATGATCTGATGAAAACAAAATTAATTGCACCGGATGACTAATGCTACCTGTCAGATTTGAGGAACAGGTTGCAGGGCAGCTCCACCAGTTGATTGTGCTGTATGTCCAGAACCTCCAGCAGAGGGCGCTCCACTCTTTCAGGCAGCTTCTGCAACTGGTTATGTCCTGCACTCAGCTTCCTAAGACTGTTGCTGCAGAACAACCTGCGGCATGAGGAATATACAGATGGTCAGGTCAGAACGAGAAGATCAAAAATAAACGGAGGGATGGAGGGAGGGACAGACAGACAGACAGACAGACAGACAGACAGACAGACAGACAGACAGACAGACAGACAGACAGACAGAGACAGACAGATAGATAGATAGATAGATAGATAGATAGATAGATAGATAGATAGATAGATAGACAGACAGACAGACAGACAGACAGACAGACAGACAGACAGA